AAGGACAAGTAACAATAAGGCCGTATTTTCACCGCCAGCATTTTTTAAAACAATTTTACATGATTAGAGGTGGGTGTGGTTGTGGAATGTGCCTTTGACTGTGATTCTTCTATGTGCACCGATATTCCCACCCTATCTGCAAACTTTACTTGGCCAATAGGTGATGTCCGAGTCAGCATTTTGAAAATGGGCCTGGTATACAATCAATTAATCGAAAAAATTAAAAAGAATACCTTAAATTATTGAATGGTTAGCATAATTGAATGAATCATTATTCTCCCTGACATTAAAGAAGAATTAAAGTATAAAAATTGTAAAAATAATAAATTGAATGGAAATCCTCTAAGATTTTTAATAATGATGAAGCATCAATGTCAGATTCATAAACAATTTAACGAATTTTATTTTAAAAGATCATATTTAGTCCAACGTATGCTTTGATTATTTTTTTTATCTAACTCTTTGAATGCAGCAATTTTTATTTCTCTCTCATTCATACTATTATTCAGGTGTATATCGGTGATTCATTTCACTTATTCCCTAAAAAAAAACTAAATCTGGATCTTATTATATAGCTTGTCAAAATCGATTAGGGAGCGAATTTGAGTCTTGCGTTGACGCGTACACCAGTCCACACCCACATTCTTATGCATATGATGAATCATAGCTTCAATTTGTACCATTTTTGTTACTACAGATATATGCAATTTTGAACAGTAGATATAAATACATATATTGTGTCTCATGATCACCACTACTTAATGCCCTTATATAATCCCTACATATTTTGGACTCCGAATCTGTAGCACAATATAAAGAATGATCGTTAGTTAATGTAGGAGTGGGCTCATTTCTTACCCATACCTGCACTCTTCCTGGTATCAATCCCAACTGAGAAGTTGCTAGAGTCTGAATTAATTTTTCATTACATTGAGATTTGTCTTTGCTATGAGGATCATCTGTTTTCCAAGCAGCATCACTATTAAAAGCCTTAAAAGACCAAGAGATATTTCATATTCACAAGAAAACTACCTGTGACCATGCCTATAACACAAAAATAAGTTAGTGATTTCAAATAACAGTGAAAGAAAAAAAACCTTAGTCACGCTGATCTCTTCCTTCAGAAGCTCTTCTGAGTCATCTAGCTTCCAAAAATCAATTCTTTGCTGTTTATTAATGAGATATAGTGCGAGAGCAAAACAGCAATTTCGACGTCAAAAAGAACTGAAAAAGAAAATCAATAAATGAAACTCTCAAGGGTTTGTTTTCAAATGCATACATTTGCATGTCAAACAACTTTAATTATCAAAACCAACAAAAACAAAACTGTTTCTCGATGAACTCTATCCGATAGCTTACATGTATAAACAAAAGAAAGGGAACGAACAATAGATATCATCCGAACATTATTGATTTTCTCATCGGATTGAAATAGTGAACATTATGACATGATCGAAAGTTTGATGAAAGAATTTCTCTCATTAAACTTGACGTTCATCAACGCGTAACAACAAATAAATAGATTGTCATAATAATTCTAGTGCATTTCTCATTTAAACTTACTTCATAATGCATACTCTTGTATTTGTTCTATTTTCAATCAATCCTCTCATCAACTCGAGTCACATTCCATTCATTGACAATGTCATACTTGTTCCACTTTCTATCTCAAATAGTACTTTTTCTTACAATCAGACATGTATTGAATGCTTGTGTATGGCTACGCTCTCTATTTCAGCCATAAACTGTTTTCCGAACTATACATGTCAATTCTTTACTAACTTTCCACGTACGTATCGTGTTCAAACGATACCTCAAGGTCGTCTATACTTTCCCAAACAGACACTACCCAACGTTAGTCAATGTTGTATGCCTGATCTGCATGTGCTACTAAG